GCTTATGCGTTCCATGCGATTGCGTAATTGCATATGGCGATTGATAGCGATATTGTAAAAAGTGTCAAAATAGAAAGAGTCATAATGGAAGAGTCATTGATGATTCACTACTATTACTGTCACTCATTTCATCAATTAAAAACATTGTCACATTGATAGCGCAATTTATTGTGGAATCCATTTTGATTTTCCGCTTCTAATGCGTTCAATATCGTTCCGTTTCAAAGCATGTATCATGCGCATAATGAAACGAAACGCAGCCAATGCGCTAAGCATTAGCGATGCGAACGATGCGTGCTATGCGCAAAACGGAACGCAACCTTAAATATATATGGCATGGCTCCGAAAGGTCTCCCCTCTTGCGACCATCTGGTTCGATGGAGGGGAGGTAATTGAGGAAACGGGAAATTCAAAAAGAGAGGTTTGTCATCCTAAGGTAGATTTCAAAGGCACGCAAAGTCTCGATAGAGGAGTTTTTGAATAGAACAGTTGTTGAAAAAGGAGGGTTGATTCCAGCTTTTAGTAATTCAGAGCGGAAAACAGTTCTAGCATTATTATAAAGTGAACAATTCCATAGAATATGCTCAATATTTTCAGACTGGCAGCCACATCGGGAGCTTTCCATCAAAGCATTTAGGCGACACACATCAACACGGTGTCAGACACGGTGCTTTCCAACAATGACACGCCATGGCACGGTTCGACACAGCAGAAGAGCATAGACTTAGGGTGCCGTCACATACAGCCCGTAATCCGTAAGGCCGGATCTACACTTAGAACATATATACTGGAAGGAGCATAGCTGACTTGCCGTTGTCCTCAACATCTATCTATCCGGGTGCATTCGTTTATGCAGCGGTTAGCGCATCCACTGCGTTTAAGGCCATCACACACAAAATGACATAACTATATATGTATAGCATAAGACCGTCTCGACCAATGAACATCTAGCATAAAGGCGCCATATTGATTTACATAACATGCTTATTGGTCGAGACGGTCTTATGCTATGCATATGCAGTTATGTCATTTTGTGTGTGATGGCCTTAAACGCAGTAGATGCGCTAACCGCTGCATAAACAAATGCACCACTGATATGTATACATAGATAGCTGATGAACGCTGCATGGACATAGGAATATAGGGACGGAGCGTAAACTTGGTTGATAGACGAGGGGAGTGAAGCCAAAATGCGGGGGGTCCGCCATGATACTGTGCCTGAATCTGATTGGTTATCGTTATACGTATGCTGTTGTTATTATACACTAGGTAATGCATTTCGTCTAAGTCGAGTTATCAAACATGTTCTGTCAAAGAATTTCTCTTCAAAGTGGACAGAGCAAATACGAGCTGTACTTGGGATAGATGATGAATTTATTTCCAAAATATCTAACCACAATGTACGAGTTTTAGGATCTTTGGGAAAACTAAGAAAAAAACAATATTTTTAACAACTTATACTCTTAAAATAAAATATATAATATTATTTTAAACATATAATATTAACTTTAATATGAATAAATAATTTCAATACCTGTGAAATGTTATTTTTACATTATTTCTGCTATTACTTTGTTTCCAATTTTGATAGTCGGATCTATTTTTACAAGACTGTACAAAACACTGCACCATTTTTTATATTCACAAAATATATTTAAAATAACAATTTTAATTAATGTTTTTTCTTGATATAACTTCAAATGCTCATTATATCTGCCCAAATTGCATAATATTTTTGCGTCGAATAATGACCAATTGCACTTGCGTCAAATAGTAGCCAATCAAAAATATGCACAGTTTACCTCGTCCCCTTCCTTCAGTGATTTTGCTCTCGCGACGTTACACTCCGACCCTATATTCCTATGTCCATGCACACTGGAAGTCGCACGATACTTACATCGCGCTTGCGCAAAACTATAGCCAATCAAATTTAGGCACACTTTACCTCGTCGCACCGTCCCGCAGTAGCTTCCCCCCCGCAACCGATATGCTCGGTCCCTATATTCCCTATGTCTATGGTATAAACGCCCTTATGGCATTCACGTTATCAACTCTTAAGATTAAGATTAAAGGCCGGAGCACTA